AATGCAAGAGGCCTTAAATAGTCAACCAGGATTAAAATACAATTTTAAAGTTAAAATTAAAAGTACATTTCACTCATATATACATATATAAATTTGAGATTTCATGTAATCGTGTACCAAAACAATTACAAAATTGACACCAGGTGAACATACCAGTGAGGATGCCACACAAAGAAAACCCTCTCTTTTCTCAGTGATCTGCACTTTTCTTCTAAAACAGTGCTAGTCAAAATGTTGGTCCATGGACTGGTGCTAGTCCACGAGCCATTGTCTGCAGCAAAGTTTCCAGGAAAGAAATAAACAGCTGTAGCCAATAGGCATAAATATGGTAGTAATCCTTGGTACAATGAAGGGAAAAACCTGCCAGACTACCACATCAAATAGCTTAGGAAGCACTATTCCAGCAGAAATACTGAGAGGGACCCCCTGTGATGATCTTCACATGCAAACAAGTAAATCAGAAGGATAAAGCATGTTCCTGCTTTTCCTTCACTCATATATTATCTTCGTGTGCATTAGAAACAGATCTCAACAATGTGAGCATCCTTTTAATATAATTCAATAACTATGGACCATACTATAAGTAAATCAGGTGTCAAATGGAAATGTGCCTCCAGCTTTTTTTAAAAAAAAAATTAAATATGGGAAGTGTGTTCCAGCACTGAGAATTCAGGGGAAGACTAGTTTAGAGCAATGTACTTCCTACGGAGGCATGACAATGGTGAGAGAACACATCAACTGTGAAATGGAAATTTGTTCCCTAATCATTTCCTCACTCAGGCTGCAAGGATTAATTAGAGGGCTTTGAAGGTGGGAAGCACTATGTAAGTGCTAAGGATCATTCTCTAGTGTGCTCATTTCCAGCTCCCTTTCTCCTCTGCTGTTTTACCATGATGCCAAGGGGGTGGGAAATGAACTAAAATAATTCATTGCCCTGCCATTGTTTGACTGGTCCCAGAAGTGTAATATAGAAAGACCATAAGTATTGATATTCTGAGAAGAGGTAGGTTTCTTTCTTTTTCTCTCTCTCTTTCTTGCACTCTCCCCCCTTCCCCTAAAAATGCATGAATTCAGTCAGATCAATGCCTGGAAACCCATGCTATTAATCTGCTGGATTCTGTTATCACAAAAAAATAAGTTAAAGCATCATCTGTTAGAAAACTATCCACTAACTGTCCAGAATTATTGAACTCAAAGTGGAGACAGAATTAGAGGAGGATAAATAGAGCCATTCTCATAAATCAGGTTTTCATTAGTGATTCCAAAATGGTGGTCGGGCCTTTTCTCCCCTGTGGATCAGAGGAACAACAATCCTTTCACTGTTTGGGACATTTTTTTACTTGGGGAAGGTTTGCCTGCAGTTTTGTGCCACTTGCTGAGGGGTTGAAAGAGTTGAGAGGGCAGAATTTAAAGGGAAGATCAGACAACTTTAGAAAGCCAGTCTGTTGAACTTGGGTTCTGGGAGACCAGGGTTCAAATCCCCACTCAGGAACGTAAACTCACTGGGTGACCTTGAACAAGTCACATTCTCTCAGCCTAAGAGGAATACAGTGGCAAACCTCTTTTGAATAAAACTTGGCAAGGAAACCCTGTTATAGGATCACCATAACTCTGAGTTGACTTGAAGGCACATAACAACAAGGTAGTACAACGAGTACAGATTGTTGTTCTGTATCGTCAAGTCAACTCTGACTTAGGGCAATCCTAAGGCAAACCTGTCACGACATTTTCTTGGCAAAATTTGTTCATGGGGGGGGGGTCCGTTTGCCTTAAGAGTGCACTTTGCCCAAGATGAGTTTCCATGGCTGAGTGGTGATTTGAACCCTGGTCTTCAGAGTCATAGTCCAGCACTCAAACCACTACCATGCTGGCTATCAACAAATAGAGATACTTAAGCAATATAGCTAGAATAACCATGTGTTCTACTTTACAGGGAACAATCCTCTGTTTAAAAGTTTTGTCACAGAACATCCCTTTGTTTAAAAGTCTGACCATTCCAATCAAGTTTTTAAAAGTTCAAAGGTCCATCAGAAGGGAGAACAAGAGTCTTAAAGCCGCCCATCAAAAGTGAGCATCTGAACAGCAGACTGAGCAGAAACACTAGACTGAGTTATCCATGATGGTAAATTACAATAACCTATTCTGAATATGCATCTTTTATGTGCAGCCCTAGCTGCCCACCCAGACCTCTGCCCAGCACTACCCAGCTTCAAAAGAAAACTTTTCTTTAACCTAGAAATCTAAAACTGCACTTCCAGAAGCCTCTGTTGTTTGTTGTTGTGTGCCTCTAAGTCATTATTTTTACTTATGGTAGCCCTAAGGTGAACCTGTCATAGGGTTTTCTTGGCAATTTTCTTCAAAGCTGTTTGCCATTGCCACTGAGAGTGTGTGACTTGCCCAAGATTGCCCAGTGGATCTTTATGCTCAAGCGGGGAATCAAACTCTGATCTCCAGAGTCGTAATGCAATGCTCAAACCATGACACGTAGGAAATTCAATTTTGTGTTTAAATGTTGCTTTGCCACTCATCTCAAAACAGCTCAGGAACATCAAAAATAGTGACCAGAATATAATTTCAGGTTCTTTTAAAAAATGGCTACATGCAGCCTGCCTAGTGGTCTGACAGACCCAGGAAAGGATGCCATGTGGCAGCAACAGTCCACCCCCACCATGGCAGAGGCAGCCTGGCTGGCAGAGGGAGGCGAGGGCATGAGGTACCACACTGGGGTGCCACCAACCCTAGTGACGCTACTGATGTCTGTCCACCCCTGTCATAGACTCTGCTCTCTTGGCAAAATTCAGTTCCGTTTTGCTTGTCACTCATTGCCAATTGTCAAGTACATCCTTGCTTCTATGCCCCTTTTATTTATCCACCTAAGTAACAGCCCATCTTTTCTTGCTAAGTATGCCCCAGGGGAGTTGTATCAGCTTCTCGTATCGGACATTCTCCCTTTGAGAATGTTTCACATTGCTGGCTGAAAAGAGTGAATTGGGATGAAATTTAATTTCTTAACAACAAAGCAGACTGAAGAAAGTGGGTAGCTGAAGTTCAACATTGCCTCAAATGACTGTCAGAGAAGTGAAAGGTTGAGATACAGTGTCCTTTTCTCCTAGCAAAGAAGGATAAACAAGTTGAGTCTATGGAACATTTGCAATATGCACTTGGGGGGCAGGAAGGAAAAGAGGAAGATCCCCATAAGTGAAGGCTAAAGTGAAGGCAAAGAGTCTGAGTGGCAATCTGGGCGTCTTTTTAAATCTGTGAACATTTTTCTTCAGTTTAAGTTTACTTTACTCCCATAATGCAATTTCAAAAGCAGGACTCAGCACCAGCAGACTGCCCACCCCATAACTGGGGAAAGCAGGAAAGATAATGTTACTTTTCTCAACTAAAATGTCTCGTCTCCCCCAGTCAACATGGTTGCTTTTTGTAATTCAAACCCTGAGTTCAACATGATTCCAAGAATGTCTTCAGTATTAGTGTCTCCAGTTTTAGAAACAAAATGGTTATTCAGTGCCCACAAGCAAAATCCGCCAGTATACTTGCAAACAGCAGCACAAGATTCTTGAATGATCAAGGACACCCAATCTGGTATCAAACTGCACCGAGAAAGAAAATACAGTACCTGCAAAGTGTGAAATATGCCCAGTTTGCCATCCTGTGAATCCTGAGAAACAAAACACAGAGTACTCCAGCTGCTCTGTATCTGTTCCTACAGGATATAAGAGTATTTGAATTCACAATGCACAGGTAGCTAGAATCACAGAATCTTGGAGTTGGGAGGGACCACCAGTTCAGGGGTACAAAGTTAAACATAATCCTGAAAGATACCCACCATCATCTCTTCAAAGACCTCCAAAAAGGAGAATCCATAGTGACCTATGTCACTGTGAACAGCTCTTACAAGAAAAAAAAAGTTCTTCCTAATGTTTAGGTGGAATCTCTTTTCCTGTAATTTGAATCCAATAGTTCATGTTCTAGTCTCTGGAGCATCAGAAAACAAGCTTGCTCCATCTTCTACCTGGCGTCCCTTCAGATATTTAAAGACTGTTATCATGCCACCTCTGACTCTCCCCTTCTCTTGTTCTCAGGTATCTGGCATATGCAATACACAAGTCACATTAGGAAAAGAATGTGTCTTTTTTGCTAACCTTCTCTGTAGAAGGTGTTAAAAATAAAAAGAAGGGAAACATGCTCATGCCGTTAGTCAGTAACAGTTAAATAGGGGAAGGGGGTAACAGCTAAAAGAGAAGTGAAAATAAGTGTGGTTCTTATTGGTACAGGGAAATGGTCTTGCAATACTTTGTGAAAACGGAATTACAAAATAACAGCCAGATTTTTTTTAAAAAAAATCTGCAAACCCATTAAACAAGGTTCCATTCCTAAACAATGCTTACTACTGCTAAAGAATGCATGCAAAGATTTGTGAGATCCTGAAACCCCATGTGATATGGAGCTGTGGGAATGCTGCCCTCCTGTCACTGTGGGCATATCCCTAATAATGTGTATTTGATGGGTCCCCACCACAGCATGTAAAAATGTAAAAAAAAATACTGTCCAGTAAGAAAAGGAACCCATAAGGCCAAGTGTCAGAAGCAGACAAATGTTGTTGTTGTTGTTGTTCACCCTCATTGTCTTTGATAATGGAACGAGGGGGGGGTTAACATTCCATTTAAGCTTTGTCCCTTCCACTTGTTTGGTGATCCCCTTCCACACAGTGCTTGACACTATAATGAAAATGAGGAAAATGTTGTCAGGCTGGAGGTTTCTTTCAAGTTCTCACCAACACTGGTGTAGCAATGCCAGAGCATCTACAGGAGGAGCACTAGGAGTTTTTGGTTGTGGTTGTTGTTGTTACTGTGTGCCTTCCAGTCATTTCTGACTTATAGCAACCCTAAGGCAAACTTATCACAGGGTTTTCTTGGCAAGATTTGTTAGAGGGAATTTGCCTTTGTTTCCCTCTGAGATTGAAAGACTTGTCCAAGTCACCCACTGGATTTCCATGACTGAGCAGGGATTCAAACCCTGGTCTTCAGAGAAATAGTCCAATGCTCAAACCATTACACCACTGGCTCTCATTTTTTTAGATAGCAGGGACAGGGATATAATATGTTCTCCTCTTTCGGGTTCCCTTTTAATTTAGAGTTCAGTAACTGTCAAGGAGGAAGATTTACTTTTTCACGCACAATATCTGGTCGTCTTTGTAGAATGCATGAAATGTGAGCTATATCTGTTATTATGCAAGGTATTTTAAAGTGGCCTGGTTTCAAATGGGAAATTATGAACTCTTACCTTTACAAAAGGTGTGTTCTGATAGCAAAGAAAATAGCTAGACATGGTTTGTTGATACGGGCTGACAGAGCTGCGTGCATTTTTGGACTCTCCTAACCACAATGGGTGCCACTACATCATTGTTCACCACATAACGAAGAAGCAAGCTACTTTTCGGTTTAAATTTCCACACTGGTATTGTGTAAGTAGTATTTCAGTGCAGCTTCAGCAACAAAGAAACTGTTATCCTATGACAAAGGATTGAGTGTGTGGGGGGGGGTGTAATGGCATGATTTCAATACACACACACTGTGTTTTGTCACTGATTTTGTTTTTCTTGTTGTTTTCTGAGATCCTAGATTGCAGAGCTAGTTATGAATGTGTAACTACATCTCCTTTTCTGACCTAACTTTCCAAACCTACTGTAAGAGCTAGAAGCCACATCAAGCAATTAAAGTACTGGTATATTCTGCTGCTGATTGGGATGAAGCACAATAACATTTCCAGCCTCCTTCTACCAGTGGTCTAACATGCGATGAGGAGGTGTGACAGGGATCCTGCTTCTGATTGTTGCACCTCATATTGCTAGTGGAAGTGGGCTGGAAATGTCATTCTGCTGTGCCCTCATGACCAGCAGAACAGACTTCTATCACTTGATGCAGCTGATGACTGTTAAGGAAGGTGTGTGTGGGGGGGTCATTTGTGATCATGGCATTAGTGCATGATCATGAATATGGAGAATGGCTAAATATAGAGTAGTTACAAATGTGTAATTGCAATATAGAATGCCAGCTGTTGTTGTTGTTCTTCTTCTTGTTGTTGTTATCAAACTAAGGATTGTTGAACTAGGGATGGAAAGAATATTTGAACATCAATCAATAATATCAATGAACAAATATTTGCAATTATTCATCCCTTGGTTGAAAAGTTTCTCAACAGGAACCCTTGCTGGGAAGAAGAATAACTGTGAATTTTGCACAATTTCCCCTTAGTATTTAACATCCTGAAGTATTGTGCAGAAATTACTCTGCAGAGAAAAAAATTTTTTGTATGAAAAAAAAAATCTGTGTAGAAAAACAGATGTCTGACACAAGAAAATACATGTTTTCCTCCACAAAACAATTCCTCTACAATACTTTGGGACATTCAAATATGGGGAGACTGCTGTAGAAGAATATTCATTTTCTCACACGCTGGGGAGAAAACTAAGTTTTCATCCTTGCATATGAGGATAAAATAATTGAGGATTAAACATTTCAACTGAAGTGTAACTCACATTTTCTATGGCCAATGGCCATGCTGTTAGTTTGCACAATGTATCTAGAGCATACCTGGATGGAAAACATTATGTTGATCATGGTCATGATATCACTATATTTGCCAAATAAGGATGCATGGTAGTCAGCAAAGAGAACAAACCAGAATAGTACAATAGGGTTTAAGATCAATTTTTCTATAGTATAAATTATATATAGTAAAGGAATATTTTTCAACCAGACTTGCCACTGAAGCATGCCCTCACTGTAATTAAATGAAAATGAATATATGTGGTTTAATTGTGTTTGTCTTCCCAGATCCACTGCAAGATTTTGCTTTTAGCTTCAACAGCTGTTCCAGCGGAGCACCCAAAAAAGTTAACGTTAGAATAGCAACCATTTTAAGTAAGTATGTAATGCTATAATTTACTGCCCTGAACTAATAAATTCCTTTATAAATGAGTAAATGTTGTTAACCAATAAAAAAGCGTAGCTAGAAAATTTGTTTGGATTAAAAGTCCCAGAATCCCCTATCTATCAAGGCCATTCAACTTTTCAAAACAAAACAAAGCTAATCCAGAAGATCTGTGCAGAATTTTCTGTGACAGGAACGCAGGAAGAGGTTTCTTTTGCTTTTGCCTCTTGTTACCACAAATTCTGGCCAGTGGGAAAAGGTCAGAGCTCCAAGACAATTGTTTGCCCAGGAGATGAAGTGACCTGCTTGAATCTCCTGTTACTGGGAGCAAGGCAATTAGCTTTCCTCAGTTCATTTAGGTCAATGATTCCAAACTTTGGTCCTCCAGCTGTCTTGGACTTCAACTCCCAGAAGCCCCATCCAGCTTGGCCAACAGTCAGAAATTCTGGGAGATGAAGTTAAAAACATCTGGAAGAACAAAGTTTGGGAAACACTTCTTTAGGCCAACCTTTAGCTCTCCAGATGCATTGAACTGCAACTCCCTTCTGGAGTCCTAAACACCTGGAGGGCTAAGGTACCCCACTCCTGCCTTAGCTATAGAAAGGTAGGGTGACCAAGCTGCCAGCCATTTGGGACAAGAAGGCTCCTTGGGGTTTCTTAGAAACACATGTTCAAATCTCAGGTCCAAATTGCCAAAATAAGAGGAAAGAATTAACTTAGGGCTGATGTAGATGGCCCATTTGGGGCAGCTCTTGGCTGCCCTTGGGAGCGACAGATCGGGGCTGCAGAAACCACATGCCGCAGCCCCGATCCTCCTTTTTGCCACCCCAAAAAGAGTGGCAAATGCAACTTCACCCCCAGGCTGGCCTATAGTGCCAGTCTGCATCGACCCTTAGCTTCCAGACAAGTTTTTTGTGATTCAATTGATCTGTTTCATATGTCAGTATTTTACAGCAGTCCAGATGAAGCCATCTTCCCATTCCTAGTGTAGTTTTTCCACCATGTCTTCCCTTTTTCTTTCCTTGAATTTAAAAAAAAATGCATTAGGTAGAAAAGGAAATTAGCTGCACGGTGTCTTTTTGACTAGTAGTAAGAGGCACCTCTCTCTGAAAGCTTACTTTGCTAAAGTCTGGGAGGTAAAGTACTTACAACAATGAGGAGGTCATCCGGACAGATTCAGTATACCCTGCCTCTTCAGAACGTTGGAGGAAATGAAATGACCAGATGATCTTAGTTCATTTTTATGAGTGAAAAGAGACAATTTCTATTAACTTGTTCTCATAATCAGGAATGGGAAAGGCAAGAAAGTATTCTAGATTTTAATGATGATGATGATGATGATGATGATGATGATGATGACCAATCCTCTAATATGCATATTGCCAGAAATATTCTCCTTTTGCCTTTTGGTGTAGGATATCAATTAGGAAGGTTTAAATTCTATGTGATCTCAGTCAGCACCTAAGATCCTCAGTGGAGATATTTTGGTCATTCCTGAACCAATAAAATACCACTTGTTAATATTATAGAAGGAGGTAACACCAGAGTTTGGACAGTTACTTCTAAGGGAAATTAATATAATGAAATGTTGAAGCTTTCTATAACTCAGGCAAAGAAGCCATGACAGTGAGACACTAAGAAGATTATCAGATTAGGTTATAAACCGTCTTCTTAAACCACCTGAGCTGGTTTAAAATTAGAAGTGGGAAGCATCCAGATAATATCAGATGCATTTAACTGCCGAAATCACTGCCTAGGTGCAGCCCCACTCTATCACCACTTCGAGGGGTGTTCTGGCGGCCATTTTTTAAGCTGAAAAACTCCTGGGTTTGAAAAGAGGAGCGAGGAGCACCCCCTGGAGCGGTAATGGAGCTGGGCTGCACCCGGGTGGCAATTTCAGCTGCTAAATGCATGTGATACTATCAGGATGCTACCCGCTTCTAATTTTAAGCTGGCTCAGATAAAACAGTTTATAACCTAATACGATAGTCTCCTAAATCCACAGAGCTATCCAAGATGTTGAACTCTTTGAATATTTCCTTCAAAATTCAAACTAAGATGTGGACTGCATTCACTACCCCACTGACATGGAATGAACTGAGTTTAAGCTCTGGGAATCAGAACATTATTCTATCACCACTCAGTTGTGGGTGATTTCAGCATATCATTATATTAATTCACAACAATTTGTACATAAATAAATAACACACTGAAAAAGGATATTACTGTGATGTATTCTCCTGCTTCAAAGAGTTTCTTATTTGAGGATCCAAAAATCACAAGAAAGAGGTAAGTTATTCCAAGTGGTTTATAGACAATGAAGAACAGCTCAGCCTTACACATCCATTCTAAATTATAATTTTCATCTGATCATTTACATCACTGAGTTTTATTTCTAGAAAGGCCTTAGACTGGTACTTTGGACCCAAAAGTTGTTGCCCAGCTTGCATCTCTAGTTATCTTGTCTCTGCTGGATGTTTATAACTGGCTCACATATTACATCCACTGCACACTGTCTGAATTATTGCAAAGGACTGCCAAACATCTGAGGAGGCCTGTTTAATATTAAGGAATAAACTAGGGCATTTCTAATAGGGGTGTTCCTAATAAAGTGTAATAAAAAGGAAGTGCAGAAAAGAGTTTTCCAGAGCGACAGGGAGATTTGCACAGAATATTGTCTAACATTACCTATGGCACCCCATAGACCTGCCTCACCCTTTGCAGTTCCTCCTGTCTTCTATGGGTCAGATTAACAATAAACATAGGACATATTTAGGAGAGATACTTCTTCAAGTGATAAAAGATGTCTCCTTCTCACAGCACATGCTTTTCCCTGCCTGCGTTTGGCTTGTTTTTTTCTGTGCCTGGTCTCTGGAAGGTATACATGGGTTTAATTTGCATGTCTGGTAACTGAGACACAGCTCTCCTTGTGGATGAAGGAAAAACATATGAATTGAAAGGAAATCACATTAAAGTAAAGTGTACCCTCAGTCAATAACCCTGATAACAGGGTTCAAAAATGGGATGGATGGGATAGAACAATTGTAGTATTACTTGCAGTGAGCATTTGAGTTGAAGATGTCAATCATAAGATCACATGTGATGTTATAATTCTATTGCTAAGAATGGGAGC